ATAAGAAGTAAAGATGGAGGAGAACGTGTACCCAGATTTGGAGAAAATGTGCAGACTGTGCCTTTGCATCGTCGATAAGGCAAATCTTGTTGACATCTTCCCGCCACCGGAAGGCTCGGCTGTCAATGGGAATACTTCAGTGCAGTTGTCCATTCCCATGCGTATCATGGCATGCGCCGCATTGGAAGTACAATCCGGAGATGGACTCCCAAAGTCAATATGCTTCGAGTGTCGTTACCAATTGGAGAAGTCCTATTATTTTCGGAAACACAATCAACAGTCGGATAGTAAATTACGGAAGCATATTCGAATGCTCAACATGGGGAAAAAGAGTCGAGTATTTGCAAAGACCGAGGATGATGACTTCGAAGATGAAGTCGAATTTGAAGACTCGCTTCAGTTTATACAGAAATGGGAAGAAAAAAAGCAAGCGGAAGAAAACGCGCGGTGGGAGCAAAGGCTACAAAATGATCTAGATCAAAAAATTGAACTTGCAAAAAATGAATGGTTTGAGGAATGTAAATCTGATTTAAAGGAGGAAGTTGCAAAAGAACTCCGAAACAAAGTTATTGATGAGGTTAAAGTAGAGTTGCGTGCTGAAATGGAGCAGAGAATCAGGACTTCTTTACGTAAAGAATGTATGGAACAGGCAAAGTTAGAAGTCCGTTCAGAGGTTATCGAGGAGTGCCGTGAGCGAGAACGCTTCTCATTGCTCAATGAATTACAAGCATTTTTAAACCAAAAAAGGGATGAAAATGCGCCACCAAAGGAAAATGCTACTACTGCAATTGTAAAAGAAACGTCAAATGAAGTCGAAGCAGATGTACCAACTGATCCGTATGAACAAATCCAAGAGAAAACCTGTGCTGAAGCAGAAGCCGATGCAGAAGACGGGGCGGAATTCTACGTTATAGAATCTATTAATAGTCATGAAGACGAGGATCCAATTGCTTCTTCAAAACCACCGAGTAAGCGTAAAAAAACCGATAACAGCCAGCGATTTGAATACTTTGAAGATAAAATGGGAGACGGAAATTTTCGTTTGACAGCCTCGGAAAGCAGCAGTCATGAGCCAGATGCCGAGTCGTATCACAGTAATTCACTCTCATGCATTTAAGGCCGGTTACTCAATGTCTGGTGAACACTAATTTCCGGTTAAACATGGTGCATGATAATGCGAAGGTAGTGATGACCCGACATTGAAAAAAGGGCCCTAAGGGTCAGTGTTTCAGTGCCAGCTTATATATTATATTAAGTAAACTGAGTTTAAATTGAACAGCTGGCTGACATTTGATTGGCTGATCTTAAACTGAGTTTAAACTAAGGCCTTGCACTGAAAAACTGACACTCAAAATATAATAACCTTAACATGCATCAAATTTAAGTTGCAGATTCTGGGGAGGTTCAGTATTACAGAAAAACATCAAGAACTGACAGCGAAGAAGTACAACGAATCGAAAATGATGGTGAACATGAAGAAGATGATGTCATTGTTTTAAACTTTGGTCTTGACATGGAAACCGAGCAGGTTGAGCCAGTGGGATTCGGGGAATTTAAAAAACTATATGCCGCGGTTGGTGAAAAACACTTAAAAATTAATTTTGTTTTAAAAGTAATTTTGCTATTTCAGAAGCCGGAAAAGGAGCCATTCACAAAGCAAATTGTGGCAGATAGCACAGCTTTCCCAGTGAACTTGCGCAAGACTGACACTCCGAAAACATTCAAATGCGACTCCTGTCCGATGGTTTTCTCCACAAGCAATGCAATGAACCGGCATTTGCGTACACATGTTAAGGGGGAGCAACGTGGTGTCTCGTTCCAATGCTCGATATGTATGGTATATTTGTCCTGCAAGAGCGCACTCACCCGACACATGATAATACACACGGGCGAAAAACCACATGTGTGTGATGAATGTGGCAAGTCTTTTGTGCAAAAGGAGGTACTCAAGAGACATATGTTAACACATACCGGCGCTAGACCGCACAAGTGTACACATTGCCGGCGTACTTTTACACAAAAGAACAATCTGGTAAATCATATCAATCGAACACACGCAGAAGTACCAGTGGGGCAGCAATATTCATGCCATCTTTGCCCAAAACGCTTCAGCCATACATCGGGGCTTAGTCGTCATTTGGTTACGCATACCGGTTTGACTTTCCAATGCACGGAGTGTAAGCGCAAATTTGCCGATAGGTCGTCGGTGAAACGGCATATCATAAATGTACACGGCGTAGAAAAGGACTTAGCCATAGTAAATGTGAAAAAATCCGATGCCGAACTTTACACAGACGAAGGCGGGGATGTTACAGAGGCGAGTGAGGAAAACGATGCAGAGTTTTTAGTATGATGAAATGATAGGCATTCTTATGTACCTACATGGGTTATTAAAAAAAAACTTTGTTGGGTAAAGAAAACTGTTTTTTTTTTTTAATTAATAGTATTCTGCCTTAAAATTATATTTAAGTGAAAGTCACTGAAAAGAAATTTGTGGATTTTTCTTATAAAAATTTTACACACTAGCTTGTTGATCGTTTATCAAAAGCTCTAATTTTGATATTTTAAGAGTTATGTTTTAATAAAACAAACCAACTTCATCGTACAAAAACAGAAATATGAATGCATACAAGCATATTAAACTTCAATATACATAACGAATGTTAAAAATTGTTTGGTAAAGCAGACCATTGATAATGTTAAACAAATAATAAAGTGACGTAAGAGATGTACAACATTACCATTATACATATCGCCCTTAGGGCGGTATTATCACTTGCGAAGCGAATGAATTTGGCGAAGCGAACGATTTGGCGAAGCGAATGGATTGGCGGACGCAACTTAAATATACATTAAGAGTGTTCTTTTTTACCATCTTGTACAAGTTCTTTGCATCGCGAACATTTTTAATGCCTTCTCTGCTCTTTAATTCGCTTCACCAAAATCATTCGCTTCGGAAGTGATAATACCGCCCTAAATGTATAGGTTGTTTTTTTTTTAATTTTCATGCAGATTAAATGCTCTTACAAACGTGATGTTGCGTGAACGTTTTCTTTGAACCAAACGCATATATTTTCTTGCGCTAAATGTGACATGTTTTTCTTCAGTGCACTGTTCTATATTTTAGCGCACTCATTGAACACTAGGGTTTAAATTTGTTTTCTTAGCGTTCAAAGTTGTACAAGTCACACAGCCACATAGTTTCATCTGGCACGGCCTTTACCGAGAGCCCCTGCTCCGCCCTTTCCACACTAAGGCAGGCATGTGCAGAGAACGAGCACACGCTCAAAGAGCATAACCATCGCGTGTACGTATACAAGCAAGAGCGTAACGATGAGAACGCAGCAGCATGCAAAATGAATTAGGCACACTAACCCATTCTCACTTTTAGCGATCGCTTGTTTGTGGTAGTGCCCACCTCTGGTCCTAAGGCATTCGGCAACGTAAGTCATTCCACGCTACTAGAAGACATATTAGCCAATTCTCTCTCACACAGGGACATAAACATTGGTCAGCGACATGTTTGATTGAGCACACTAGATGCGGATGTGTCAAATGAGTGTCCAGCGTACGGATAGATACCGCACGATTAGAAATATCTCTTCGCATGCCCACGAAACCCCACTCAACTCACGCCTTTGTCCGTATGGACAGACCCCATAGAGACTGCACGCTTCTTTTGTCTCCCTTCAGTTGAGCTTGACGACAACAACAAGAGCAAAAACAGTTCATCTTCAGAGATATAACGTCAAAGCCAAAGAAAATTAAGCCAACCCAACAGTGTTGAGTTCAGGAGTCGTCATAATCCCGCTCGCAGATCTTTCTCGATATTGGCGTCTGGTAATGGAATTAATGACCTGTGGTTAGAAGTAAATGAAATGGCCACCTCTCCGAAGGTTCTCGCTTTTTCACTGAAAGAAGCCTACCCATTTCCCCTACGAAGTTCTCACCATTTTCTTCGCCTGGACAGGTCCCTGCGATTTCCGAGTCTATTCTAGCCCTACAAATCTGAGTGGGGCCAGTGCAGTTCTAGTCTCACGCACGAGGTCAAATTCGCTATATCGATAATCTTCTCGTTACCCTTGAGGAATGGATCAATCTAATGGAGAACTGTAAAATATTATACCCATAAGTTGAATGCATTCACTTTTGTGCTAATTAATAAAATTTCAATTTTAAGGGTTCAATAAATATGCGATTTTTTTTCTATTTATGTAGATTTAAGGTTTTGTATACATATATGTTTTGCAACATACAAACACAAACACACACATGTGTACAATCAACAAATTTTTTCACAGAAGCTGTTAAAACGTTAAATTGTATTTAAATAACTAAACACTATCAATATGCATATTACTATATATGTATGTATGTATGTAGGTATATTTTAAACATTCCCATTTATTTATGTATATGTTTCAGTATTTATGCAGATAGCTTAGGCAAATTCCCAGCTACAGCAATGCAATATCGTAAATTTGAGAAACTTTTAGCAATTAGCGTTCTTACAACTCTTGCCAGACTAAATACTTAATGCTGACTTTAAAACTTTCTTTGTAAACAACAGGAACCGAAAATAACCGTTAAATATCAAGATTTTTATTTTTAAAACATTGCAATACCGTTATTTTTTTGATCAAAATTAATCTTTGTTTTAGATTTTTATTTTTATCAATCATATTTAACCCCGTTATAATGGAGACTACATCTTTTATGATCTAAAAAATTAAATCCGAAAATAGCAGTTGGAATAGTATCGAAAAAAAAACGATAGAAAATTTATTGAAAAAATAAAAATTCAAAAATAACGATTAAATGAGGCCAAGAGCAGATGTGGCTTAATCCAAAATTTTTTTCTAGTACTTAACTTCTTAAAATAGTTTCAAATGTAATACATCTTAAAGTAAAGGTCGATTATTACTTACTTTGATGATACACGTTATGTAGCTCTGAAGCTTAAAATTAAAGCGTTAAGGCGAATTCATCGTTCTAGTTCTGAGCTAAAGTTGAAGTGAGTGCAAAACTCAAAAGCGTTCAGAACTTTTCTCAGTTGCTTCCCGAGAGAGAAAAACACAACAACAACCACATGGAAGAAAAGTTCTGAATTAAAACGATGAATCCGCCTTAAGCGACTTTCATTTTAAAATTTATCTCATTTGAGACTATTTTAAGTGGGGAAGAACATAAACAAACAATTTTGGTAGGCCACTTTTGCTTTTATAGCCTTAAATATGATCCGATGTATCAAGTTTTAACGGTTTAATTATTTTTATCGTAAGGATCATAGCCGTTACTGTCCCTGGTAAAATTAGAAAATAAAACAAAAAAATAGATTTAAAAAACGACATACATATCGATAGCTTAGAGTGAAAAGTTGCTAAGTCCCAATTTGAAAATTGTACGGGGTAGGAAAGAAAACTTCTTATAGCCATTTTCTTAAAGCATTGAGCAAAGCTTTGAATACAACATTTTGCCTGTTTAAAGCAAATCAAAACTTCATACGAATCATAGGGATTTGATCGTTATTAAAAGAAATCGTACTATTTTGGCTTTATCGAATTTTCAAAGCTTTTTTGGACTTTAAAAATCTTCCTTCCCTTGAATATAAACGAGAAAACATAAAAGGGCTTTTACCCGTTCGCAACGATACATTTTAAATTACAATAGCCTCCTGTATTAAAATATGAGTTTACATAAAAAGTGGACTTAGTAACTTTTCACTCTAAGCTAGCGAAGTTTTAAATATTTAACATATTTAGTGGAAATCAGAACAGAGCGGTTCCTTGAATGCTTTTTTTAAATATTTCAGTTTCTCTAAATTCGATGTACAGCTACATATCTTTGAATACGAATTTTTTAAACATGACTATTCAAGCGTTTTAGAAAATGGACAATACAATACAATTGTTGAAACTATTAACAAATATACTTAATGAAAATAACAATGAACAGTAGAGATTTTGGGTTTAATATCTCTAAAACAATGGTAATAGCAACAATTTTGGCAAACTCTTTTTTCTAAAACCACATAATAATTTTTTTAACACCTAAAACAAGTAAACTTTCGACGAAGCCGTATACGGTATATAAAAATCGTGTGTGTAAATTGATATCTTGCCACTTTTGTGTTGTTGTTGTTGTGTTTTGTGATGTCTACACCACGCTCTATATAATCATGCGAAATATGTGCTAAATATGTATGTATGTATGTATATGTAATATGGTAGGTACAAATATTCAAAATACTTCAATATATTGTGCTCAACGACGCACGTCCATATGTAGACAGTCATAATTTGTGGTAGGTTCAGTAGTTTAAATTCCGTATGGTATGTATTTATGTATACACCAAAAGCGGCTAATATTTTCAGATTCTCTTTAAATTTTTAATATTTTTTTTTTTTATGCAACATGCTTATCATTGCCTACAATGTATTACTTATTACTACATATACTTTGCCAACGATGCCTTTACAATACATATTGTATTGTCTCTCATTCGAACTACTCCGAGTTGGTTAGGGAAGACCGCTGTGATTCGAGTGTATTGGTATCGTTGCGATTGCGCAACATGCGTGGCTGACTTGACGCAAAATTTGAGAAGTCTTTCATAACATCCTTATAGGTTTCATCTTCACCATTGCCCTCGTCGTTCATGCCGATTTCATCGTTTAATCGTGTTAGGCGTAGTCTAGGAGATTAAGCAAATGGTAACATGTTTTCGATGTACAAACATATATATGTACAAATGTGTTTTGTCAACATAAACTTACAGCGTTACAATGTCCGCATTGCGCTGATCAACTGCAATATCGAGCGGTTTTTTGCCATCATTCGATTCCGTGTCATATTTGGCTTTGTGTTTGAGCAGCAAATACACCTGCGCTATATAATCCCTTGCAGTGGACATGTGCAACGCTGTTTCGCCATTGTCATCAACCGAATCGATGGGCACACCGTTTAACAGTAAGTATTCACATGCCATAACGGAACCCTTTAAGTTTTGAAATAGTGAAATTTGCAAATATGTATGATTAAAACAGTTTTAGTTATATATGAGGTCATGAGAGTCAGAGGAGCCCATATACAAAAAAAAAAAAGTTTAGTAATATGAGAAAATATGAAAAAAAGGATCTATAAGAATTTAATACGATATTTCACTGAACCTACATACTAAAATAGCGTGCCTGGGGTTACAACGTTTCGATTCCAGTAACGAAAATTTGAAGGAATTTTGCTAATTTTTGGACAAAGTTTGAAATTTTTAACTTACATGGTCTTTGTTAGATAGGGAGCCACACTTTCATAAAAAGTAATAAAAATTAAATAACCGAAATGTGAATAGCCAAAGAAAGCTAAAAACTCTCTTCCCTGTTTATATCTTTGCCACTCTCTCTAGAGCTTATGTTTTTCATAACCACGATTATTTGAGGGTATTCGGAATTTTTTTTTTATAATTTCATTAATTATATTATTAATAAGGATGCTGGTTCCCTAACATTATATGACCATTGTGATAACGAAAGTGCTGCCTCGCTTGTACGAAAAATTGTTTCTGGGCCAGAGTAAAGGGAGATCGTCGTAATAAATGAATAAAGAAAACACTGAAAATCGGGGCTTAATCGTTACGTCCCGACTTTTAAAAATATTCAGCGGGACTATTTTCTCAAAATCGTTACTGAGACATACAAAATTTATCAGAACCAATCAGAATTTTGTCGGTACTTCTGCATTTTTCGGTTCTTCGTATTTTCCTATCGGAATTTTTTGGGAAGTTTTCGCAACTCTGTGATTTACTTTTGGGATTTTTCAGGATTATTTAAATCCGGTCGTTTTCTCTTTTATATTTTTAACCAGTTAACCTAGTAACCTTACGATAGCCTGGCGGTATAAGAGCAACTTGAAACCGTTTTTGCCAATAACCGAAACTCTTCTCTGGGAATATACCATATCGTCGTTTAAAGTACAAAACTGCGTATCAACAAAATGCAAAACCGTGTATCAAGAGAATGCAATACTTCGTATGTGAGGTTGCCGAAATTTTGCGGGAGAGTAATAAAACCTGTCTTATTTCAACACGGTTCTCTCTTTTATCCCTAATTATCTCTATCGATATTTGAGTATAAATGGGTAAGACTTGATGTCAGGAGCTTCCGGTGAGCAAATCTCATTTTTGGCACAAATATCAGTTACGAGGTTTTGTACTTTAAACGACGATATATAGTTGTTCTAATGAAAAATATTGCATTGAAATACTATTTCAAAACTAAACTCACCGACAGCACCGCCTGATGCAAGTAAGTGCGATTGTGATCGTTCGGATTCTTCCAGTGTTTGTTGGCGCCCAGCGCAAATGCCATGCACATGACCGGCAAATTATGCACCGCAGCTGCTTTGTACAACATGAGATTCGCATCAAGTTTGGAGAAGGGCACCTCATCCAATATTTCCGGTTCGATTTCACCATCGGTAGATTCCTGATCCGAACCCAATATGGCTGGCGTTTCGTCCGATTCTAACGCCAAATCATCACCGATTAGCATTAAGTCTTCACGTGAAATACTCAACGAGAGCGAGGGAAGATTTATCGATTCGTCATCATCATCCGATTTCGAACTAGAGCGATGTCGATCGCGATGACGACGACGGCGATATTTTTTCACCGCCCATTTGCGTGCACCCAACGAAAGTGTTGTCGTCTTGCTCAGACTACGCGATTCGTCAGCATCACCAACACCTAGCACACTAACACCATTGCCGAAAATACCACCACCACCACCTCCGCCGCCTCCGCCACCGCCGCTATCAATGGATAGCACCTCAGCAGTTTCGCTCGAGAGCAGCTCTTGCGGTTTCGGCATGGCACAAACGAAACGCTTCTCCACGTATTTCGCCTTAATCCACGCTTCGCGCACACTGATATCGCAATTCTCCGTGGCCGCCTTCAGTTCGCAACTGTCACCAATGCGTGCCTCATAAATGCGATTGACCACATTGTTGCCCAATTCCATCATCACTTTCACATTCTCCGTTTCCCAAGCGTCGAGGGTGAGGGAACGCACTTTACTGTAGTGCACACCCAGGCTGCGATGCACACCGGAGCATTCAATGCATAATGTAATGCCCAGATTGATGGAAGCCCAGCGCGGATCTGTGCCGCGACAATCACAACATTGCGAATTGCCGGGAATTTTAAGAAATTGCTCCCAATGGCTAGAGAATAAAAAGTTAGCACTTAGACTGTATTTTCGATGGTTTTCAGGTTGGATGAATACGTACATTTTCCGCTTGGCATTGAATGCATTCGTCGCCAGTGACGACTGTGGCCTGGAATGTTGACTGTCGTGCTGTATGGCAGCACCAATGCTCTTTTGTAGTGCCGAAATCCATAGCGATAGCATATCAGCAGAGTCTGCTTGCAAAATATGCGATCTGGAAGTATAGTAAACAATTTACTTAAATGTTATCTTCAATAATTTTATATGAGCTTAAATGTATACACTAATTTATTTATTTGCTAATTTTTAAAACCTTTTTGCTACTCACTTTGTTGGCGAAATTACTTCGAAACAGAATCGTCGATCGCCATCGTTGACTGGACGCACTGTGCAAATGCGTAAATCCTCCTCCATAACGGAGAATGAATCCTCATTACTGCGTTTTCTGCAATTCGAATCCAAATCACTTCAGCGATTTTTACAAACACAACATAAATTGGCAAATATGTGTAGGTAGAGTAGGTAGTAGTAGTAGTAGTAGTAGGTGGGTATGTACGAGAGTGGTAGAGGTATGGCATGGCACACGACATAACCACAACAACAACACAAACATAAAATAAACGCAAAAATTAGGACGCATACACGAGTAGAGATGAAAAAGCGAGTTGAATACTAGAAACTAATATTAAAAATAATTTCTAATTTATACTAAACTTAGTGTGTACACTAAAAAATATAACATCAAAAATATACAAAGAAATGATATGAATTGGAGGAGAATTTTGATAGATCTCAATGATACCAAAGACGCAGAACAATAACTGTTTTAATTATAATGTTTGTAACGTCAAACGAAATCAATCATCATGCCAGCACTTTTATAGGGCGCAGAAACGTGGTTAAAGTTGAGGTTGGTGGACAAACCTATTTAGATGGGGCTTGGTCGAGCCGCTACAATAAGAAGAACTTTCGACTGAACTATTCTATGCATGTCCTATGGGCCCGTACGAGCGAGCGATGAGCACCGAAGTATATGAAAAAATCCTTGGAATCAAAATCTATGGGTGGACACCGACAGCAGATGCACCCATGAATACAATGGAAGAAAAAGTACAATTAACAACTAACCATGTCTCTTAGTTCGTTAGTACATACGAAATCTCAAGCAAAAACTGAAATAAGTACCACAAAGAAACTTGGCAAGCGATATAGTATGTAGTTCATGACCAGGGAACGGATTTTTAGGACCTAAAAACCTATAAAAAAAGGCAAAATAATGAAATAGGCTGGAAAAGGCAAAATAAAATAGCGAAAAAGGCAGGAAAAGGCAAAAAAAGGTATTGCAAAAAAGCAAAATAAGGCACTAAAAAATACAGAAAATACGAAGAACAATCAAAAAATATATTTATTTTAGAAATGTTTATATTACAAGTAAAAAAAAGAAAAACTATGAACTAGTTTCATTATATGAAATATTTGTACATTGAATCTTTGACTATTTTATCCTTTCGAGTTTCTAACTCATAAAACTTTAATCTGTATAGTTGTAGTAACATTGAACCACAAGACACATTTTGAAGTTTTCTGGCAGCATTTTCATTAGATTTTCGCGAAGAAAAGCCTTGAATGTACTAAATGTGCTCTCGACGTAAGTTGATACAAGTGGAGCCCAATTTAAATATGGAACGTTTGAAACGTTCATATTATCAGGAATGAAGGCGTTTTCTTCGCGCTTTACAATTTTATCCACACCCCTTATTGTCTCCAAGCCTACGTTAGCTGAGAAAACGGCTTTGAATTTTTCCAACACCAATTTGGCAAGAGGTCCCTGCGCTTCTATAAGCCGCATGGGCATGTGTATATTTTTTAATCTTTAAAAAATATTGTAAATGCTATAATCACTTTTTTAAAGGTAGAAAAGGCAAAAAAATGCAAATATCTTAAAAAAGGCAAATATCTTAAAAAACGCAAAAAAAAAGGCAACATCAAATGTGTATATATGGAATCAAGGAAAGCTAAATCGTGGACATTCTTAATCGAATATACTCTATCTATTTAGCAGAAAAAAAGGCAATTTCCATGAAATCCGTTCCCCGTTCATGACTATGTGTTCCTGGCATATAAATTTCGGTTTCTCGCGAACATAGACTACTTTATTCGTTGGACATCAGTTTTTTCTTAATTATTAATTTTTTTCTAAATTATGAATAACTATAGTTTTGTATTCAAATTTATGAACATATTTTTCTTTAGCTTAGTGATTAGAGGTGCGTATTACCCCACCGTATGGCCTGGGTGCAATCCCTGGTTCGGGCAAAACATCTATATTAGGAAGTTTTCTAACAGCGGTCACCCCTAGACAGGTAACTGCAAACCTCCGAATGTAATTCTGCCATGAAAAAGCATCTCATAAAATCCATTTGCCGTTCGGAGGCGGCGTAAAACTGTACGTCCCTCCTTTTGTGTAACAACATCAAGCCGTACACCACATATTCGAGTAGCTCGGCCAAACACGTAGCGAAAGTGTAAGCTACAAAATATTGATATTAAAGATATACAATTTAATACCATTTTCCCACGGCATCCGGAATTATGATAGCGAATTACCCATTTCCAAGCGCACATTCTTAATTCGATTTGACAGTTCTCTGTCTCTGTCTTTTGTTTTTGTTTTTCTTCGCAGATATACAGATCAGCAATATTTTTTTTAATTGGTTTACTACATTTTATTTTACTTGTTTTCGATAACGTTCTCAGCTTATTAATGTAAATAAATATAGGTAAATAAAAACATCTGCATCATAACTAGATTTTAAAAAGAGATAAATGTGTTTTTTTTTAACGAAGGGACGAGAAATAAGTTTGGTATGGTATATGTATATTCGCAAATTATGTGAAAACTTCAAGAATATAAAAATTTAAGGAGTTAACTAAAACCTTTTCAATTCAAACAATTCAAAATCAGCAGCTTTAATTTCTTGCATTTTTCTTTTTGAGAATTGTTTTTAATCCGCTTAACATTTTCATAAACGGTGTGGATTAATTTAGTGCAGACATTTACATGTATGTATGTACATATATGTAGTTGAAACGGTGGTGCCTCTAAGCATTAAAATTATTTTTTGGGGCAAAGTTATTTTGTTTTTCAACGTAGTCTCCAAGCTCATCCAAGGTTTCTTCACTTTTTGCCACAATCTAAATAATTAATACGATTGATTATAGATTCCATCAAAATATAGCTTTGCCCCTTTTGTTATTACCACAAAACGCAAAACCAACATTGCAAAATACAGAGAACCAGAAAACAATGCCAGCAGTTGGTTATTGCCCTTGGTTAAGACGTAGCTTTCGCGTTATTTGCAACGCTTTAGCTCGTAAAACTTAAAACACGCTCGTATCAAGCGGGTGTCTCTTTATTCATTACTATCACTACACTTTCCTTACGATTCATTACGTCTTAACCAATTAAAGTACATTCGTGCGCAGGTTAAAATATATTTCATTAAAATTCCAAGTATAATTGCACTTTCCGCGAGTTTACTGAATTAGCAGCAGAAAATAGCTAACAGCTTCGCGCACGTTTTTTTCAAATTCCATTCAAATGAGATGATGTCACTCAATTAAACAGATACAACTCCATATCACGTTTTATAAAGCTCTACTCTTAAAATATAAAAATTATAAAAAAACGAATTCACACATGCTCCCTCATCGTAATTTTTGTTGAGGGGATAGAGCACTACTTCAGACTATCTTAGTTCTTAAACAAACATACATATATTTTCAGCAATTTGTTTGCTATTTAATTGAGTGAAAAACTCTTCCCTTCAACCCATTTACAATAAATACTCACCTATAGACTAGCTGATTGTTGCTCAAATAGAACCAGCGTCTGCACCATGTTTTGAATCCCTTCGATTTCTTCTTAAATAAGTACCCTTCGATTTTATTCGAAGTACTGTTTGTGTTGGTGTCACTAAAATTATTCACACTTAAATGACGGTTTTGCATCGCTTTTTCTAATTGCTGATAGTCGCCACGCAAACAATTCAAGTCTTCTGTTATATTTTTGAAAAATTCATCAAAATCGTTGCACAAATCGAAACCTTGATGATAATATGTAACGCAAGCCTGATAATAGTCGACAAGCTGTAGAAGAAGAGTGGAGAGCAGTTGAGAGTTTAATGAGTGTACTCACTGTTTAACATTTGGCCACAAAAAAAAAAAAAAAAAAAAAAAAACTAAAAATTATTTATTTACTAACCGTTGATAAAATCGATGGAACTTTACGCGATTGTACTAAAGTTATATAATTAACATAGTCTAAAGCGGTATGTTGAAAGCATGATTTACTAGCTGACAATATGTTAGCAGCCTCTTGTACTTCTTGTGGTCGATTTTTGCTTGCCTAAAAATACGATAAAAATAGTTAACACAACTCTTTCACGACCAACAATTAAGCAAATGACTCATTGCCAAAGTAAACTTGCCTGTGCATTTTTTATGAGTGCATTATCGTAACCCTCGGATACTTTAAGAAAGTGTCCTTTATAGTCCTTAACTTGATTAATATCGTCTTTGACAAATACTTTAAGGTTCTTCAAAACCGTGCGACTCGCTTGATCCAACAAAATGGTATGAAACTTGTTCATTTCCTGTAAATGGAGATATCTATGTATGAGTCAAAATGTAGAAAGAGCATTACAATCGCGCCATTGTCTATGAGTAATGGATTGATGAATTGACTGCGATATCGAATTCGCATACAAGCAATATACACACACATCTACATACATACAAACAACAATAGCAACTAGTCAAGTGAATGCAATGGAAACGACGTTCATGAACTAGAAGAGCACGCCTCGCAACCGGCATTAAGTGAAAAGTAGTAAATAAATTAAATAAAGCAAATTTAACGAACCTGAAAACAGTGTATCAGTTTGCCTAAAGCATTGTGTGCGTTCTTATTATCGGCAAAATGCTGCTGCAAATCCCATAAGGACATGGCGAAGGCGCTGCAAAAGAGAGAATCAAGTGATAACAATATGAGTAATGTGATACCGGTAGAAATTGATCAAAAATAATAACAAATATAGAATAATGCAAAATATGTACATACATATGTATGTAAGCACATTAGGACGCCTCACCGAAAAAAGTTGTTTCCACAACAGAATCACAAAATTTAGTCTATTTTATAATATCCACAAGGGCTGGGAGAGTTCCATCATAATTTATTTAATATCTGGATAATCCAGATATTCGAATGTCTGATTAAAAAATGCGAAAATCCGTATAGCAAAACGAACGGATATTAACCGGATATCCGAATTTTCGGATTTAAAATTAACAATAAAATAACAATTGTTCGTGTATTAATGAGGCATCTCTTCGTACAACTACTACTGGACCCGGAACTGTGTAGACTGACCATGAACCGTATTCACAGAGGGACTGTTACAACCTACACAGACTTTCGAATTGTGAATGCCGTCGTAAGAGCACCAAGCACCACCTATGGACGATAGTGAACTTCAAGTCTATCCGGACTCGGCCTTGACACACCTAATAAGTGTCCAGAACAGCACGTTTCCTGGGCCAACCGATAGTTGAACTTGATCTAGGCAATGCTAAGGCTATGTATATCTACAACGACAACAATGGATATTAACCGGATATCTGGATTTTATCCGTAAACACGAAATCCGAACGGTTCTACGGATTGTCCCAGCCCTAATTTCCACTGGAATATTTTAGCTGAAATCGAAGTAATCTTTGAGTAATATACTTTTGAAAATAGATACATCAAAAAAGCTCGATATTTCATCTGAATAATTTACATATGGGCATATCCTCGGTTACGGACGCGACATTCGCACGCATTTAAGCTTAAAATAGGAAAGAAACTGAAAGATTCTATGTATGTATGTATGTTACAACTGTGGGATGGCGCTATATTCAACAAAATATAAGTACATATGTACATGCAAATAAAAAACGGAAAAAGTTTTTTTTAACGCGTGTAGAAATATTATAAAAACAGCGATGTTTGGTGAAAAAATTATTTTCTTTCAATCTTGAAGTGAAGATTAAAGAATGGTCCGTAGAGTAATGGACTATGAGAAATATTTCTCACCTTTTTTATGAGGTAGAATATGAGTAAGGATGCGACATTACGGAAGCTACAGATTTTTCCCTATAAATAAATACTGTAATGATGTTTATTTTTATTGAGGTTAAACAAAAAATTAATTATAACGTCTAGTGAATTTTAATATAAGATATAATAGAAGATGCTATTAAGAAAAAGGTTAGGTTACAAGCTTTTAGTGTGTTGCATTTTAAATTTTTTCTTCAACGAATAAACTGTTCGAGCAACCTCAATAAGATGTCTGTCTATATGTGAAAACCAATGCAAAGTTTTAATCCCTAAAATATTTGGAACATTTTTTCATAGCTTAGACCAGGTGTCGGCAACCTCCGGCTCGCGAACCGCATGCGGCTCTTTCGATGTTATGGTGCGGCTCCCCAGTTCTTTAGGCAAAAATTAGTTACTTTACTATCAAAACTCTCAAAAAACGTGCTGTCGATCCACGAATGAGTACCATGTGAGTGAATAGAAGTATGGAAGCTTTTATTCAGTGAAATAAAAACAAGAATTCAACTTTACCATCATCAATTTCAGATATCATAACGAAACTAAATGAGCTAAATCTAAAACTGCAAGGAAAGGGAAACCCAGCTTATGCTTTGCTGGAAGAAGTTCTTTGTAAATTCGAGGTCGCTTCGTTCTTTTTTCATCCAGAGTTTAAAGACTGTTTCTAATAGAAAACTTCGAAATTACAACAACTACATGGTATAAATTTTAGTAGTGTGTATTTAACAAAGAAAAATTTTAACATTATTAGCCAAAATGCTTGGAAAACAAAATTTGTTTTAAGGTATATATATGCTTTAATGTTTATAACATATACACATTTACGCTTTAAAAGATAAATTGCACTAGTTTCAATTTTGCGCTCTTGGTTTACCTTTTTTGGGAAATGCCCATACATATATGTAATTGGAAATATTTTTCCAGACAGTATAAAAAAAAAATTAAAACTACAAGATCTGCATTAATATTCAAACTGGTCTGCAACTGTATATTGTTGTTATAAGATTGCAACAAGTGACAGTTCTTGGCCAGATATAAATTTGCGCCGTTCCGATTACTTAAATGCGAACTTTGTGAGAACGTTAAATAAAATTAATTGAATTCACCAAATCAATTTTGTTGTAAATGTCCTTTATGTTTGCAAAAAATGTGACGCACTCTAATGTACTTATTGCTACACATATACAATTGCCTGCATATTACCTCTGATTCTTGACGTACTCCTTCCCAGAGTCTACGGCTACAGCGCAGTACTTGATTATTTTCTCAAGACGTTGCTCCAAGTGTTCAATATCAGTTTCTTCTTTGGAAATGAACTGCCTGCAAAAAGAAATATTGAACATGACTGCGGATTTGTGGAATAGAATGGGTAAGTTAAAGAATGTGCAAGCAAAACAAAAATAATATCATAATGAAAACAAATAAACAGAATAAATAATGGAAAAATGAAGAGCGTGGATAATATGCAAAAATACTGTCAACTCGATTATCATCATGCGTTACGAAAAAAAGTGCCTGTCTCTTGTTTTTGTGACTCAACTTGAAGAAGTAAAAACCAGATACTGAATAATAAGAATAAGGAGTAAAAGTGAAAGGGGATTGTTTCATAATATATGTACATCGTCACTTGAAATGCAAATGCAGACGTAGCAAACATCGTCGCTGAAATACAAAAAGTCGTAACTAATAAAAAATTCAAAATTCAGTTTTTGATGGATTTCATATAATTACAACTCCCACATTATTTTATGAAAAAAATTAAAAAATATTAGTCAAGACCTTTTCCTTTTCAGTTACGTTGTTGTTACGATCTTGTGCATTTCAGGTGACGATATGTATATGTATTGTTGTAGCTCATGTTAGCGCCCTCCTTAGCTAAATGCCGTTTTTTTTGTACATACATATATACACGCGTAAATACATATAACTCCATAGCTTATCTGTGCAAATACTGCAGGTTTATCAAATCCAATATGAATATATTAACATCTGTGTTAACAGCTTTTCACTTTTATTTTGTTTACCTTTTTCTTTCCTTTTTTTTGACACCATTTGAGTGGTGCAATTAGGTAACTTGCGCAAATTAATAAAATCTAGAGTGCCAGTTACTGTCGAAATTCGACAGTTTTTCTAGTTTTAGAAGCCTTGGAGAGGTTTGCTAACTTAACACGTAGCGATACTTATACGGTACAAACTAACTAACCGGAAAATCTTCTGCTAAAACGTAACTAAATTTTTTTTTTATCTGAGAAGGTCTTTGGAGAACTTCGGCAGGACTTGGAATTGACCCGATACATTCAAGTTTATCGATAAATTTCAATGATTTGATACATATCGATAGTTCGATGAATTTCAAGAACACTAAAATTCGATAACTCAACAAAATTCGTTAACTCGACCAATTTCGATAACTGTGAAATTCGATGGCTCGATAAATAAATGTAAAAACTTTGGATACCTTTATAAATTTTTACTTTTAACATCACCACATTTCTCGAAAACTATCTAAACATTTTGATAACTCGTTACACTCTGTTAAGACGATTAAATTCGATAAGCAGTGATAAATCGATAAGCTTATATAACGTTGAAATTTCGATAAATCGATATATTTTGAAAATTCCATAAAGTTTGCTTTGTTGAACCAACCAATTTCAGTAGATCAATAATTATAATTATGCATTACGACATAGTCTATAAATAATGATAGTTCAATAAATATCGATAGCTTGATACATTTCTTTAACTTGACAAATTTCGTTAATCCCACACGATTTTATAGCTCGATAACTATCCGTAAATTTAGACAACTAAGTATCTGTGTCTATCAATTTCGACAACTCAGTAAATATTTATCAGTTTGAATAATTCGATACGTTGCGATAACTTAATAAGCATGGATAAATTTCGATAATTATAAACTTCGATGATTCGATAGATTTCAGTAACCTTTATGGCTGATTTTATTTCGATTCCTATCTTTTAACCTAATTCTTATGTATTTCTCATTGTCTCCATTTTCGCCTTTATCTCAATTTTCGTCTTTATCTTCACTTTCGTCTTTTTTTTGTCTTCAACGTTATCACTTGTTTCTTCATCTTCATATTTATCTTTATTTCAAAGTTTTATTTCAACTACGAAGTAAAACAAAAAGCGAAACGCTTGAATTGAACAGGTTGCAAAAACAATCGTTAACAAATATGGAAATATTTAAACGACGATTTTCAACCAATTTCGAAACTATAAAAACTCTCCTCATCTACAGAAAATTACTTTCCAACGGTGTTTCTGGTTTTGAAATCAGTAACTTTACCTTGGTCTTCATCTTTGTTTTTATCTTTCACATCTTTGCTTATATCCTTTTCTTTTTCTGTTCTTTTTCCTTTCTTTTTTCTTATGTGATGTGATAGGGTGTCATGTCATCTGTTGTCAAATCTTCTGATGTCATGTCATCTGATGTCATACCATATGATGTCATATCATGTGATGCCACGTCATGTAATGCCATGTCATGTCATACGATGTCATATCATGTGATGTCATGCCATATAATGTGATGTCATATCATATAATGTCATGTCACATGATATCGTGTGATGTGATATCATATTATGTGATGCAAAATCATGTGATGTCTCTTCATATCATGTGATAAAATGTGATGTGATGTCATGTAATGTGATCACATTCCATGTTCCGATTAGTGTATCGATAACCCTGTTGATAACTGTGTTGATAAAAATACCGATAACAATATCCATACACATATAGAAAAATACAACGATTGTAAAATCGATTAATTCAGCGATAAATATAACAATCATCAGTATCAGTATCATAACAATATATGTAAATGACTAACTCGATAACAAAATCAATTATTTAATCGATTATTATACCGATAACAATATCCATTATTGTATCGATAACAATATCCATTATTGTATCGATAACAATATCGATTATTATATTCATTATTATATCGATTATAATAGCGGTTATTTAATCAATAACAGTATCGATAACAATATCGATTATTTTATCGATAGCAATATCGATTATTATATCGATAAAAATATCGAGTTTTATATCGATAACAATATCGAGTTTTATATCGATAACAATATCGATCTTCATCCTCGTCCTTTTCTTCATATTTATCTTTATTTCTGCACCTTTACCTTAAAGAGTTTAACTTTACCCTGATCTTCGTTTTTGCCTGTACCTCTAGGCATCTTTGTTTTTGTTTTTATTCTCAAACCGCTAAACCACTGAGAAGCATTTCCATGTGCATTATTCCCCTGGAATTTGACAATTTACTCCCAACCAACCAGTTACCCGTTCAGTTACCCTAATTCTTATTTATCCGTCAATGTCTCCATTTTCGTCTTTATCTTCACTTTTTTCTTCTTTTTTTGACTTCATCGTTATCACTTATTTCTTCATCTTCATATTTATCTTTATTTCAAAGCTTAATTTCAAATGCACAACAAGTTTATTGTTTTTAAGTATCAGGTGTTCCTCACTGAACAAAAATTTATGAAAAACTTCAAAAAATATAACAAATTTAATTGATCGAGAGGTTGGAGCTATCAGCAAGCCTTAATTTAGCTCTTTACTTTTGTCGAAGTGCAAAGCAGAGATGGGCGTTTTTGAAGATTATTCACAATTCACAATTATTCACAATTTTATTCACAATTTTTCTATGTTTGAATGGCGAATAAATTTATTTATCATTCAAGTAATTTCAGATGAAGAATCAATTTTTCTTTTTAATTTATTGACAGATTTTACAAAACGAAATTGCTTGATTTCAGCATGATTTGCTTATAAATTACAAATGAGCCGTAAATTACGATAATGTGAACATGCCAGGGCACATCGAACAGGTAGAATCAGCTGATTTAATTATTTTTTTAATTATTTGGTTTTGAAAATGTCAAATATTTTTAATTTCTTCCCACAAAAAATTTAAATTGTTAAAATGGCATGTGAAACCTTTTTGCATACAAAACAAGCGATTGAATAGCAGTTTGCGGAATGTTCGCCAGCAGTTCGTTCAGCACCACAACTGGAAGCAAACAAAATTTACCAAGGAATAAAGTTGCAACAATTTTTTTTTTCCAATTTAAATTTTTTATTTTTATTTTTTTTTGTACTTGATATGGCACGATTTGATTTAGAAGAAAAAAATCAGAACAGTTTTTGACACTTTCGATACCAGAAGCAACAACAAAATACACGTAAATGTTGTTTTTGCTGTAATGCTACTACCTGTTTGATATGCCTTGGAACATGCTTTAAGGCGATATGTACATATCGTTGCCTTAATATAGAAAGGCCCTATCTCACATCGTCGCTGAAATGCACAAAGCCGTAACTAACAAAAATCTTTTATTGCATAAAACGATTTGGGGCCATATAATGCGATCAAATGCATCATAATCAATTAAAACGTAAATTTTCGATTTTAAGTTAGTTACGGCTTTTTGTATATCAGCGACGATGTCAGATAGGGCCTTTCTATATTAAGGTAGCGATATGTACATACATAGCGTCATCTGACATGCAAAAGACGTAACGAAATGGAAAAAGTCGCAACTAATATTTTACATATTTTTTTCATAAAATGATGTGGGGAGTTGTAATTCGATGAAATCCATCATATAAATCAAAACATTAATTTTTAGTTTTTTAGTTGGTTATGACTTTTTGCATTTCAACGATCGTGTTTTATACAACTTTTTGCATTTCAGGTGACGATATGTAAATATCGTCGTTTAAAGTGCAAAACCGCGTATCAACAAAATGCAAAACCGCGTATGTGCATATTTCAAAATGGTTCTCTTTTTTATAAAGCAATCGCATATCTGCCTAGTACATTTCAGGACGAATGGATAAGGATTGAGCCAAGAGCTTGTGTGAGCAGATCAAATTTTTGGCAGCCAATGTCAGTTACGCGGTTTTGCAGAATCACGATACGCGGTTTTGTACTTTAAACGACGATATGTAGTATGTACCTTATTATTTTTCTACACAACATAAAAGGTCATTTCTGTATAACTAATTCCAAAAGCAAAAAAAAAATTTTAATTTCTTCCAGAAAACACACAAAAAACTTCCAATACAGGCCGACATTTTTCAGACCCCGGGACCAGATTATATTTTTCCAAAACTTTTTGATACGCCATTAACTACAAAAAGATTTGCTACCTGTTAAAAAACTAAATTCAATTCATTTAAATAAATTACTAAAATACACTGAACTACATGTAGGAGGGTTGCCACCTGTCTAGAAAATTAAATCCAACTTGGACTAA